TAATATAAAAATTAGGTAACACCTAATAGCGGAGCTCCAGTAGCAATATAGAAGCTGAAAATAATTATCTAGTACTACTATTTCAAAGGTAGATGCTCTGTTCTAGGGAATGTGAGCTACAACAGTTTTGTTGACATGCGAACAAATATTATAAAGAGTATGTTTATGAGAATTTAGTTCGTACTATTATATTGACTTCGGTAGATTTTGTTCCGTTGGATGAAGTTTAAAATTATAATTAAAAGTAAACTGAAAGCTTCTCGGCAAAAAGTAGTCTACATAAGCTTACAATAATCAACATTGTTTCAATAATCGATGTTTGAACCCGGACTACTCGAACTTCACATATCACAGAAAACTGTATACAAAAATATATTTTTTACCTTCATTATCGAACTTCCGATAAATTATCGTTCAAAGGTCATCTTCAACAGAGCCATACTTGTTTCAAGCATAGGTTTCATCAATTTATTAAGTCATTCAAGACTGTAGATTCTTTGTTTTTAATCTCTCTCAATCTAACTGCTAGCATGGTCTTGGTTTCGAAATGTCCACACTTTTAGTCGACAAAAGAACTTCGCATAGATCCCTGCTTTTTCCCATATTGGTCCATATTATTGAAGTATTTCCAATAAAGTATCATCTCTTTCTTGTTGTCGAAATATCAAAGTAAAATCCTTTTTTCTAATATAATTGCTTTTCATCTCCCAGATGTGCGGACGCGTCGAAGTTATGACAAAATTGGCAGGAATATTTCTGTGCTTTTTCACTCTTCAGTGGATTTTTTCCTTGTGATTAATTGTTCTAATATTATCAATATGTAATATAAATGTTTAAGGAAAACATTTCGATTTTTCAACAAATACTTGGCGCTAGCTTTGTTTCCTTTTCGAGCGGAGTATGGGTTTCCTGTGGTGGTACATGGAATCCAGGACGGAAGGAAAAGTGCGTACGCGCGGGAACCCTGTGTCGGTCCATGGAAAATCGACTGGTGCTCCGCTCGCGCGGGCCTTTGCCCGCGTGGGAGCTCCGCTATAATTTCCTTTTTTATAATGTTTGTCCATTTATGAGGGTCCACAATAGGTTTTGCGGGATGCCTGGTAAGCCATTTTGTGAGGCGGGATTTGTGATCTGGACAAAAATTTTGACGGGATGCGAGAAGTTAAAATACTGGCGGGATTAGGATTTTTCATTTTCTTTGGGGCGGGATCAGGATAACTTGGATAATCAGGTGGAGGTTGAGTTGAGTTTAAGTTGACTTTGGCTTAACATTGAGTTTACGTTGAGTTCACATTGAGYAAAAAGTAAATCCAAAGTTAGTCCAAGTTAAAGTTTAAAACCGTTAAGTCACAACAGAAAAATATATCTCGGGAAAACAGTTATTAAAAAGATGCAACTGCAGTATTTGAATTTCATAGGATAAAGCAATCAATAAATATGCAATACCATGGGAAATATAAAAGGTGTTAATTCCATAATGATCTTCATGCCACGTAACATACTTTGTTTCTTTCAATTATGAAACGTAATCAACAAAGCAAGAAAAAACTTTGAAAATTTTCAGTCACAGATGACTGTGACACGCTACAAGTGATCATCATCAAATGCACAAATTGAACACAAAAATTACACTGTTTCACCTATTACATTGTTTTATTGATTTAAGTTCCATCTATACCAGACATAGGACGCAGGTATATAACATTTTTTTTGATATCTAAAAGTAAACTGAACATTAACTCAAGGCTAAATCAACGTTAACTCAAACTCAACTCAGCCTATAACTYGATAAGATAGCTGATCTGGAGTAGTAGATATAGACTATATTACATGGGTGTGCGGAGATATGGTTTTTGTCTTCTAGTGTTGAAAATAGTGTTAAAAGAGATTTTCAACACGACAATTGATAAAATTTGTATCTCAAAGTGACCATGTCATATTCTGTTTATCATACAATTACATATAAAGCAAATTATGTTGGAAAATATTTTTTTCCTAATTCCCCTATATAAAGAAACCTCGAATGTGTGATTTTCAATAGTTAAAAAAACAACTTTACGAAATGGAGCAATATAGCTATTTCATAGATAAAAATAAACAAGTWAATATTACATTTAACAATAAAGTTCTGCGATCTGTACATTTTGTTTTAAAAAGTTTTACACAACGCTTCGATGTTATCAAACGTCATTATCAAGTGAGATAAAATGCAAAAGTAAGGATATAKATACAAGAATAATAATGAGTAAAAAATTATAATAAGAATAAGGTTAAAACAATGATATTAATATAAAATGAATATAAAAGAAAGAATAACAAATGATAAAAAACAAATGATAAAAATAGTTCTAAAAGAATACTTTARCCTTAATGGAGTGACTTTGGGTATTTCAGTTAATAGGTATTATTGTTTGTATAAATAACATCTCATTAATGAGACAGTCCCATTTCGAAATGCATTTCTTTCAAACTTTGATTGAATTGATTTTCTTTTAATAAGTTAATGTCTCCATAAGCATCCTTGAAATGTTTGCCAATGACAGAGCTCCTATGTCCATCAATGTGTTGGGGAAAATGTTTTGCTGTGTAGCCAACGTAATTTGTGGTGCACAAATTACACTCAAAAAGATACACAASGCAGTGCTGGTTTACGATGACTGCCTTCAACTCTTTGTTACTGAGATTTTGTTCAAGTTTTTTTGGCTAGTAAAGACTAGCAAAGACAGGCTGTAGTTGAATGCCAATTTTCAAKCTGAGATTTTTCAGTTGTCTCCTAACAGCGTCAGCTGATTTCTGATCTTTAAACGGAATCTTAGTGCGTAGAGTACTGTCATCTGAAGTCGTCTTTAGAGTCTGTTGTTGTTGTTGTTGTAGAACCGTGCGAAAGAGCTGTCTTCCATGTGTGAATGTTTTCTTCAGGAATATCAACAATTAAGAACTATGTTTCAAAACCTAGGGTACCCTGTTGGCATGATTAACACTACCATCAACATGTTTACGAACGATACTGCATTTTATCTCACTTGATAATGACGTTTGATAACGTCGAAACATTGTGTAAAAAAATTTTAAACAAAAATGTATTATCGCAGAACCTTATTGTTAAATGTTTTTCAAAAACTCTACATACGAATTGTATTACAGGCAGATTTATCTTCCTGTTCCATACCTCTTTAAAAARARTAATGCTTTGTTTTCTTTCTTCTAGCAATTTAAGAAACTTCTGGTATCCAACTTGAATTTTTCCCCAGTGAAGATAAAAGCCATACCACACTCAGGATTTGCATTTGTTACATTCAGGTACATAATATGAATTGTAAGCTGTACATGAACGACAAAGTGTGCACAAAGAAAACCTGTGTCTGTCCATTATATTGATAAAATTATGCCTATTTATATATGACTACAATAAATAACAGTATGTATCTAAGATAACTACTATAAAATATATGGCAGCCTGTGAAGGCTGAATTACATATTTTAAAAAAAAGACATCAATAAAATCTAAAAACCATACATTATTAAAAAGCCAAGTCAATTCCACATGAGACAGAGAAAAATCTTGAATTTCAAAAACCTTTAAGTCTTTATCAAAACCATATTTTTATTATTGTCAATATACTGAATTAACATAAATCACAGTTTATTTTGAAAAAATGACCACGGGCGCTCTGCAGCAGGGCATTAACGCTGCATAGTTTTAGTGAGAATCTTGAGCCATTTACATGTAGATTTTATCTGTCATGATTATGGACTAGAGGTGCCTAGAGGTGCAAATACCAATCCTCAAGCACTAAGAGATTCCAATAATCATTTTGCAATTTACAAATTTTCTTTACAACATTTCAGCTTGATTATTCAGGCCGTAAAACTTTGATATGCAAGTCGGTAATGTCCGCAACAAAAACTGCTTTAATCTCATTTGCAACTCAACAATTACTCTCAGCATGATCTCATTACTGCTGTTCTTTTAGATTAACATGTGAACAAATACTTCAAAAGAAAAGTGACCAAAAATTAATTAATTATAACTAGATATGCTGTTGCGAACATTACCGTTGCGGACATTACCATTTCAACTTTTGCCATTTTCATTAGTGAAATATTGCTATTTTTTTAGAAAAAGTACTTCTTTTCATAGTTAAAGCATAGTACTCCTCTAATGCATGCTTGCATGTAATAACACTGACCAAAATCTAAAATTTAATTGGTGACTTTCCACTTTCAATTAATAGTCCTTTTTTCTTGCTATGTTTATTTTTGTTTTTGTTTTAATTATTACCTAAAATGACTGTTCTTTAAGCATAAAGTAGCTATTATTATTTTTTAACATTTTATATTTATTCCTGCCAAATATTTTGCTTTAATTCTGTACTATCCCAAAAATTTAATGTCGGCAACACTTATGGTGAAATGTCCACAACAAAGAATTCAGTCTATAGCTTCCACAATTATAGAAATGATAAAGTTTTAATGGCCATTATTACTTAAACTAATAAGAGTTTTAGTCTCTTGGAAGATTTTCACAATTCACAGCAATTCTAGCTAAAAAGCAGTCACTTAGATACATTTGGTTGATTTTAGGGTAATGTGGGCAACAGTCACTATTAATGAAATGCTATGTTCATGTTTTTCTTTAATTATTACCTAAAATGATATTTTTTTAAGCATAAAGTAGTTATTGAATACTTATTTAACATTTTATATTGATTCCTACCAAATTTCTTGCTATAATTCTATACCATGATCCCAAAAAAGTAATGTCCGCAACACTTATTAGGTAATGTCCACAACAAAGACATATTTAGTCTATAGTTTCCACAATAATAGAAAATAACAAAGTTTTAATGGCCAGTATTGAACCCCCATCATTACTTAAACTAGTCAGTGTTTAGTTTCTTGAAAGCTTTTCACAATTCACAGCAATTCTAGCTTAAAAGCAGTCACTTGAATACATGGTTGTTTTTAGGGTTATGTCTGCAACAGTCACTATTAATAAAATATCTAAGGAGGGAAAGGAGGTATCTGGTGTTTTTCATATACATAGTGTGAGGGCCCCCTTGAGCTTAATTATAGCAAAGTTTGATCCACCTAGCTTGCTACAGTTAGAAGTTGTGAACAGTTTTGTAGCCATATTTTTGCCTCTGAAGGTAATGTCAGCAACATGGAATTGACCAATACAATCGTCAACATGCATTTCAAGCTAACCAAAACTTTATGATAACTGAAAAAATAATTGTAACAAAGATCATTTAAAAGCCTTGCTAAATCAAATCACCATTTATAGGTAGACAATGCTCTCGAACAAATAAAAGAATTCRAAGACTCACTAGATGACATGACTTATCAAACAAACCATTCTTTGACTTAGATGATACTTTATCCAATGGCGCTTTCTTGTTACTCTTGTTGATCACAATTGACTGCTGGTCTAGGCTATAAGTCATTCTCTTCCTGATATTGTTGACTTCAGGTACATATTATTTCTTCGTTTYAGCATACATGCAGGTTTTCATGTTAGTTGTTGTAGACTTCTAGTACTAAGCAGTTCTGATTTAACCAGGATTTGGCTATTAAAGCGAGACAAGTTGAATAGCTAGTATAGGGCAGACCAGCCTATTCCAAAAAATACACTGGACATCGATTTAATGCAGGTCTTACTACTTATCTTCTAACTGTTGTACAGCCTTGATGTTATATTTTGATGTATTATGAGCGATATATCAAGAAATTTGATCTACAAACAGGCTACGTAAGCAAACGTTCTATATTTTGTTTTTAGGAAACAATAAGAAAAATTATTAGCCATATCTTATGTACAACAATATTATTTTTTTTATAAGCTATTTTGTCACCCTGCTGATCATGCACTGGCCAAATAAATATGATTGTGTCTTGTTCTTATCTGTTAGAATTAATTGAAAGTAAAGAAAAAGTCAAGTTTGAATTATTTTTTTAAAAATTGTTTTAATATGTATTGGTAAATTTAATAATTGACAATTGATCTCATTTTTAGAAATGAAGAAGAAAGACAGGTAAGAATTCTATGTAATAGATAATAACAATATTATAGGACATATGAAGCATTTTTTTGAAAAATAGAGTCAATAAAACAAGAATAATAACTTGGCGCWAAGCACCACTGGATGCAGGCTCAAGTTAAAAATCCATATTGCGAACTACTAAAAGGGGCAATGACCTATTAATGAGGTACAATGACGTACAATGACGTACATTGAGAGCTACAATGAGTAGAAAAGCACAGCAGAATATGTTAGTAAATTGAAGTGTTTCCTTAGTTTCCTCTGTCAGTTTCCTCAATTTCGACATTCCCAAGTTCTCCTGCTCTGCAACACAACTTTTATTTCACATTTTTATTATTTTTTTGATTGGTTGAGAAAAATGTGACAATAACAGTTTTTCATAGCTAGTTGGCTCCCTGTGTACATAAGCTTCCAAAACAAAATGGYCGATTCAAGGTGGTGGATCATATTGAAAATTAAGTAACAATGCGCGCAAAAAGCAGGCAACTTTCTATTGTTCTRCGGCAATTGCAACTTCCCCACATATGAATGTCTTGGTTTTCACACTGATTATATATCAACCTATGGGTAACAGATTTTTAAAATAAAATGTGAATAATTAAACTCTGTTTTGAAACAAAGTTTCTTTTGTATTAAAAGATCTTGTCCAACCATAAGCACTCAAATCAATAGCCAAAAAATGCTTCTAATTTGCTATGTTCCCCACATAGAATTGTATGAATTGCTATTAAAAATAATTAAAGCTAAGGAAAGCTTTTATGAAGTTGGAATCAGATATTAAATAWAATATTAAAAAATGCGCTTACTTTTGAAATTATGTCAAATTTTAATGTTTTAACCAATGAGATGGATGGATTATACGTCAATACAACATTAGTATCTTCATGCATTCCATTGCCGTTTGCTTGCCTGCTTCTAACTCGGACCATTACAACTTATGAAAATAAGGTGAAGACCCATTCTGSTGTGCTTTCTTAGTCATTGTACTGTAGCTCTCATTGTAGGTCTTTGCTAGCTACTGTATCATTGTAGTAAGGTCATAGTAGTTTATTGTATGCCATTGTAGCTATTGTAGGTCACTGTAGCTGGTCATTGTAGAGCATTGTAGGTGCATTGTAGATCATTGTAGCTCATTTGCAGCTTTTAGTAAATACCATCCATAATGCTCATTTGATKACTTCACACATTCAATGTGCTCTAGCTATCAAATTTAAACACAACTGAAATAAGATTATTTTGRTGACCCATAGCTGTCAACCCTCCCAGATTATCTGGGAGTCTCCAGAATTTGAACCTCGTCTCCCGGTTTCCTGGATAAAGGTTGAAATCTCCCGGATAATYGTGAAACTTGTAAAAATATGGTATGGTATGTAAGACATAACCAAGATATGACCGCTTATAATAAAAAAAACCTTTTTGGAATAATGATTTTATACTTATAATTAGTACATATAATTTTCTTGTTCAATGTATCAAAATGTAGCTTTGCTTCCTGTCTATGCGGCCCCCTCTTTGTGCTGTTATGTCACGTACTTACGTAGTTCACCACAGGAAGCCCAAATCATGATTTCACAAATCTCCATAATTGAAAAGTCGGGGGGTTGACAGCTATGTGACCGAAAATATTTCCTACAAAACAATAAGGTGAAAATAAGGGCAATTTTGTATAATCAATGTGCACATCATGTGACATCATCAAATTAGCATAATATTGATTTTTAACTCCAATTTTCTCCGAAATTTAAAGCCTGCATCCATTACCACTTTACCAAGCTATTATTCTTTTCACATTGGTTCTATTCTAGAAATGAAAAAATTCGCTTCATAAGCAGTGATTATCTATATTTAGTATACCACGTTTTTCAAGTAATTTTCTTGTTTAGAAACTAAATAATCTCTTTCCAGTTTCTGGGCATCATTTTATCCATCCCTTATTGAATTAAGGTATGTCATGTGACCCCCGGCTACAAAGGGCAAGTAAATAGCAACAAATGACTATTGGACATTCAGTAATTTCTTGCCTTTTTTCCAGAAAGCACTGACCACATTTGACAAGTTTAAATGGAAAGGAAGACAATTGATAACTAAAGTAAATATTATTCAGATTCTTGTTGATGCTATCAATAATTCAATTTATCAAAAAGTATAGATATCATATAATGATTATAAATTATCAGGTTTTCTCTATTTGCAAACTATTAGATAATATTCTCAGTGCCAGTTAAACTAATAATTATAATAACACATTCTAATTTAAGGGGCAGATGCGAGAACAGCGTAAGTGACGATTCAGGGTATTTTTGAAGTTTTCGAAAAATTGAAAAAAAATCACTTTAATCATTTGTTTCTGGTCTAAATAATCATGTTTGCTAGTTATTTCTCGTGATGTTATTAAAAAAAGCGAAAAAAAGCCACATTTAGTTACATACAATACCCTCCCCTCCCCCCAAACTTTAGCTTAGGCTTAGTTTCAGCCTTATGCACTAGGGTTAGGGTTCCTATAACCTAAGACAGAGTCTAGGGTTCCTTGATTTAGGGTTAGGGTTAGAAGGGCTAGGGTTTAGGGTAGGTTAGGGTTAACGTAAGCTAAGGGTTAGGCTCTAAAATCTGAGTTTTAAAGCAAAAAACACCCCCCTCCCCTCCCCCCGAGTCCAAACTTTGAAGTTTGTATAAAATCACTTGAACAGCATGGATGCCTGAGCTATTCATTTTTGACATTGATTTTGACATCTATTCAATTTTTCGAAAATTTCAAAAATACCCTGAATCGTCACTTAAAGTCCACCTCACCCAATTTTTTTTACATTTCGAATTTCCAAATTTTTATATTTTTATGCTCGTTTAATTCGGCCAAATGATTTTTGGCCGAGTGCGAGGGAGCCTGGGTTGATGATGTAGATGGAGTAACTCGTCGTTCGGTAAATACAAAGTCTACTGTACAAGTTTCCCATATTTCATTACAAATCTATGTTTTCTAAGACTGAACGCGGGATAATCCAACCTGGAACGGCAAATCTAATGCTAGTAGAGATTATTCTGACGATTTGAACGTTATTTTATGTCTTGGCTATAAAAATGGAGCCAAAGTGTTGAAAGATTATTCTGGACAAACAAGTACGTGTTGCGAATAGATCTAGATAAATATTGAGGAACAGGAAAAGTTATTTACGGCCCCAGGTAAGTAACTTCTTTCAATATATGTAGGTAGTATTTACAGCTGTTCAAATTCCAGGTTCTCTTGWTTCAGATTTGATTTTTACTGTCATTTCACTGTAGGTATCTATCGTTGTCTCTCGAACGACTTACTCCCTCTACGTCATCACGAAGACATTGATCAGGCACACAGGAATCCCGAAATTGGCTTTCTCCGCGGTTGTTTTCGCTTCAAAATGTAGTTTAAATAAACGAAATCAAATTTGTTTGTAAAAATTTTTGTTACTATGACAAAAGTCTTTTCTTTCCAAATATAAAAAAAATTGGGTGAGGTGGACTTTAAGCCGTTCTCGCATCCGCGCCTTCAATTTATATAGTGCTTACTACTACTTACTTACTGCCCGTTAAGCCTAGTGGCGTGCATGGCAGCAAAAACCTTCCATTTCGGTCTATTCTGGGACTTCCATCCAAAGTATTTTATGTGTATCCCATATCTTAAATCAGTGRTAGTACCGTTTTTTGGAAGACCAGGTAGTTTTATTGGCCTCCCCCTTTTCCTTTTTCCCTGAAGTCCAATGTAGAGAGCTATTCTGACATTTTCCTTCTTGTCACTTCCGAGAACTTGCCCCAGCCACCTCTACCTCCTTYTTATAAGAATTGATCTCATTATATTTTCTTGCATATAGCGCTTAAATTATAAAATATTCTAAAGCACTTAACAATGATAAAAACGTTATTTACAGATCATATAATTATATAGAAATAAAGAGATTTCAAAAAATACATAATTATTATATAAATACATATAAAATTATTTATGAAAATTAATAGTCTAGTCTTAAAGTGCACCTAACCCCTAAAAAATGACATTTTTTTCTAAAATTAGGGATTGAAGTTTCTATGAGCTTTTTGGCAAAAAAATGACTCATTTTCTGTCATTCGATTCCTGATTTTTGGCAAATGTTTTAAGTTAGATTTCTGAGGTGGACAGCCTGGAAAAAAGTAGCATGGAAAAGAGTGCATGATGTCAACCCAGACAATAAAACAATACAGTACCTTCTCTGTTATTGGTGTGTTGTTACAACCGTAAGCAACACACCGATTCGGCATTTTAACTCAAAATCTATAAAAATCTATAAAAACTCAACTACTGACAGTGTTTACATGAGGGTTTCTAAAGGGTTTTTCAACACCATTTTCGTATCCGGTACTGTTTTGGGATGTCTTTGTGGCCATTTTGGTGGTGTGCATGCATCCCTGAAAAAAATCTATTATTGTCATTTAATTGTGTTTTATAATAAGACATGTAGTTGAAAATGCTGGTTGTTGTGTTTAGCTGGCAAAGGCTTTACCTGATCCAGTAGCTTCTAAAAGAGCCAAACAAGAACTTAAAAGTCAAAAATTAAAGAAGAAGCTTGAAAATAGCATTACAAGAGCAGGGACATTGGGAAGGAAGAGATTACAATCTGAAGGTTAATCTTTTATTCTAGTATGTCTACATAAATAACTTTATTATTAAACTTAGATATCTCTAGGTACTTGTGTGTCATCCATATGCATAAGACTGACCACATTGTATCATTCACTTTAAAATATACTTGCAAGTTGATAGTCTCCTCTCGCAGCCGTTAGGACGTTCGTTCCCAGGTCACTCCCCCCTAACGGAGTGACCTGGGAACGAACGTCCTAACGGCTGCGAGAGGAGACTAGCAAGTTGAGTGCATTTTAGTTTTGTGACATGTAAATTCATGAGATTTTGATGTATTAAATCATGTCAACTATAGAGGCTAGCTGCATTGACAACAAAAGGGCTAAACCAGATGAAGTAGAAGAGGAACAGACTCCAACAGAAAGGTTGGTAGCTGGCTGGCTGTACAAAGACACTGGCAATGATGGAATGTACTTCTATTAGACTCTAAAATATTATGTTATTATGTATTTTCAGGCTAAACAATTTTGTGACACCTCTATGGAAGACACCCTATTCAGAGCAAATTAAGGTATAATTTANTGAACTATGGGACGTAAGAGTACAAGGAAATGTAAAATATTTTATTTTAATTTTTCTAAAGAAACATATGGCAAATAGAACTGGGGAGTAAGCCTTGTTCTCCAGTTCTGTTTTTCCATGTTTCTTTCGAGAAAAAAAAAAGATTTTACATTTGCTATCAGTTTTGAAACATTTAGTGTTGAGACTTGAAACTATGTCTTCTTACTTTTTTGATCCCCTCTTTCCATTTCTGAACATCATTTTGTCATTGCTGATTGATTTGAGGTAGATGTGGTCACGTGATTCCCAGCTGCAAATGTCCTATTGTTAAGTTAGCTTGCTGACATAGGTCTCATGGGCTTGATGTAGCCTATGTAGCAGCTCTAGTGGAGGAGAAAAGGGGAAAATGGAAGGGGATGAGGCAGTTGCCTGCACCTACATTAGGACTGTAACCTRGTCAAATTTAATCTATTTCTTCTGTAGTTGTAAGTTTTGGTTTCCAATGTTCTCACAATAGTATATTACACCAAGAGCTTTRTTTGTYTGTTCATTTATTAGATCAAATTCCAATTCATTATTAGAACAAATTGTTCATTTATTAGATCAAATTCCAATTCATTATGGACACCCTTCAGAGACTTACAGATTCTTTAAATGAGATGACAGAGGAAAAGGTAATTCTTGCCCATTCTCATTGAATCCAAAATACATAAGACGTAACATTTAAGGTTAAGAAGTAGTGTGAATCAGCAGCATATTACTTTGCTTGCTCAAGAGTTAGATCTATTGCTGCAGCCATTAATTACTTATCACTATCAAGGACAAGAGAAAATCAATTTTTCAATAAAATGAAAATTAATTATGACAAAATATTATTCCATAGACAATAAATAGTACTCTCATATTCAAACTGGAGACACGGAGATCTGGAATACGTTCGATTTTCCCATCAGTAGTAATAAAATGTGGTAGTAGTTTTTTATTTATACCATTAATAGATTCCTGTTCATCTAAAAACTGACTGTGCTGATTTCACTTGGTAGTGTTCCCAATATTCCAAATCTGATATCTTGATCCTGATCAAGATTTGATCCTTTTCATTAACAAAGTTTCCTTTTTTGTTACTGYTTCTTCATGTTTTAAACTAAGAAGACCAGCAATGTCAAGGAGACTGCAGTCCCACAAGAAATGTCATATACAATGACAGACATCATAATTAATAACTTTGATTATTCTTTACTTTAGACCAAGAATTTTAGCCAGAACTTTTGTGGATATGCACTAGAGATATCATTTAACAATAATTGTAGTACCTTAGTTTTTTAATTGCAATGGTTAGTGATCTCTCTTTTGCTGGGTTTCAAAAAGTTTGAAATAATGAAAACATAACTGTAAAACGTTGTTAATTTCAATCAGCTGAATGATACTGCCATTCTTTTTGTTTTTCAGAACTCTCGACTTGAAAAAGAACACAGGTACAAAAAAAATGCAATGAATGAACACACACAACAAAACATTTGAGTCAGTACTGACATTTCCATTGATAATTTATACCACAGTGAAGAAAGAAGTGTTACTTGTGAACTGATGCCATGCATTCCATCAGTAAGTACTATGATTGGAAATATTATTTATCAATAAATATAAGTTAAAATATCTTATCACAATCATAGAATGTCTTTACATCATGTCATTAAATGAGTTATTGAAAATAATTCATGTTTCACTTTAGAAATTAAAATTTTATTGCTAAAACTTTGGTGTGTGTTGAACATCCTCAGGGCTACTAGTAGGTCTGTGAGAAAGTGAAAAGGGGTGTTTTTAAGGCATTTTGGATGTTCATGCGCCAGGGAGTAATATAATTTAGTAAACTGTTTAGTGGATAATGATGTTAATGATGAGTGCATGTCTACTTAAGATTAGTGATCCTTAATATATATTTACTCCTAACGGGAGTAATATAATTTAGTAAACTGTTTAATGGATAATGATGTTGATGATGAGTGCATGTCTACTTAATAAGATTAGTGATCCTTATATATTTGCTCCTAACAATATACATTATTATTTTTGCAGCCTGTTTTTAATGGGTATCGTAATAAATGTGAATTCACAATAGCTGAAGGGCCTGATCAAGGTATTGAAGATTATGTAAAAGCTATTTTCAAATTTAATGGCGGGGTTAACCATGAAATGGGCTGTTAAGATATATATATATATATTATATATAATTAATATTTTTTCTTGAAGAGAAAACAGTTGGATTCAGAGTTGGCAATTACAAAGGTATGTTAATTTTTGTACCAATAAATAATCTTTATTGCCAGTATGGCTGGCATCCATCACCAATGATCCCCTGATAGCCAAATAATAATAAATAAATATAAATAACAATAATTATAACTAATAGTTTATTGAAAAATCAACATTCCAGACTRAATTACATTTGACTTAAGGTTGAAAGTAAACATAATTGGTCACCAAAATCTTGGGACGACATTGATAAAATGATATTGCTTTACAAGTGTTGACCCTCCTTCAGTTACAAAGTGATCGACCATATTGGTTGTCATGCCAAAAATGTAATAATCATGGTAAATATTTAAAAAGACATCATTATGAAAATAAGAATTTTATTTAACATTTTACCCAAACATTTAACATGTTCCACTGATCATCAAGGACTGGTACAACTATTGAAGATAGTATAATAATATTGTATCATGGTGGCCAGACTGCGTGCATAGGTAGGGGGACAATGCAAAGTTGTCTATCAGACAAGTGTAAGTACTAGGTAAAAAATGCACAATATCTCCATAAATATCAAGAAGTCAGAATGTCTTTTTTCAGATGGATTCAGTGGTGTTATTGAGCCTTCAGAGTGTATTCATATATCCGATACTGCAAAAAGAATAGCAAATGTACGTAATGGCCTGATAATGTTAAATTAATGTCAGCTCTTTATGCTTCTTGTAGTTTTTATTACATCTTTAATCAGCTTGATTGTTATTTGTGGGGCCAACTGGTCAACATACATAGGAAATTAGACACAGAAATTTTGGATTAGCCTCCAAATTTTTCAATTATTGATGAAAAAGTCCATCAATGAATATCCCTGTTAGATTCAGAMCCTATCCCCACTACACAACCTCCATTGCATGGACCTTTTCTCTGTTAAAACCGTGAATATGGGCGACATGTTTGATCTCAAATAAACAAGCGTAGCAAGTCATCARTTTCTTCATGGTTATGATTTTTGTTTTACAGTAATTTAAAAACAGCATTAGAATTKAGTATACTTTCTTTTCCATGTGATAAGATATTTCAGAAGTTCGTCAGGCAGTCGTCTCTTGATGTATTTGATCTTTGCCTTCATACTGGGTATGTACAAATGACCAGTTTTACTCTGATCCATATATCCATCCATCAATCAGACTGTAGTCTGCAACATCAAGTGATCCATTTTATGCTGGCCTCTTCATCTGAATTGGATGCCTACAWACCACCGTTTTTCACATTTGTCGTTAGAAAACTTGATATGGGTTGAGAAAAAGCTACGTTAAACAGCAATATGTAAGAGGAACTGTAAAAATGTTGCAAGAGTCCGCGGTTTCAGCGAAAAGTCATAACTCTATTCTTGACTTGTTTTACAAAGCTGGTTTACATTTCAGGTATTGGCAGACCTTAACAGTCCGTAATACTGATCTTGGGGAATCAATGGCTGTCATTCAATTCAATCCACAAACTCTAYCACAGGTAGGCATATAAGGTATGGCTTCTTTACTCAGTTATGATAATGCTGGTAAATGGTTATTATTTTGAAGTCCTTATTGCTGTTTGTACTCTATTATACTGCAAAGGATTGACAGGCTATGATTACACTACAAATGATTTCAAATATATTGAACTATATCTTTACATATCTCTTTTGATCGCATAAACTGTTTAATGCGTTTACCATAGTAGTTTGCTTGCTTACTCACTGTGGCYATGCGACTGATAAAGGATTTGTGTCAATAGCCAGAGCTGGACAACTTGTTMCAAGAGATTAGGGAATTCTTCACACACAAGGAAGGCAAAGAATGTAAACTGTCCTCACTGTACATTCAAGTGAATCCRTCAAGGTAGTTAGTGCTGTTTAGTTGTATATTAAATTATATAACCACCGCTTTCCCAACACCAGCCCAGCCGTCCAMGCCCACCTCCCCCAGAGATTCCTCSACCGCAWTTTATACCAGGAGATTCGCACTTACGATATCCTGTCTATCGGCTCGTGCTTACTCAGTTTTTTGAAAATTTATTCGCAATATTTGACAGATCTATGGGTGGAATCGCTCAAGAACCAAAGCTACTTTTTGGTATTCCCGTAAGTACTTTGTGAATTGAAATACATTTTTATGTTCCTCCGTCGTTTATTTATTGTTATCTCTTTGTAGTGTATACATGAAATTTTGCATGCAGTTAAGTTCAGAATTTCTCCTGATGCGTTTTTCCAAGGTAAGATGTAATATATTCTTTGAAAGTTAGTTTGAGGGGCTCCACGGGGGTACAACTATCGAATACCCCGCCACTCAAACCCTCACTTGCCGCGGCTACGGCTACGGGTCAGATACACAGGGATACCAACATATGTATATAAACAACTTTCTTATTTATTTACTGGACTACTATTCAATAACATTCTTGGAAATTTTAATATTACTATTTTATGATACAGGAATGAATAAAGTAAGATGAAATGTAAACAAATACCGGTCACTTCATTTTGACCTGTAGCCATGTAGCCGGCTACAGGTCATAGTGTTTTCTTCGTTCTATAAAAACACAGCAAGACCGGTCACTTCACAGGACGACTTCTTCGTTCTATAGGAGATACAGGAAGACTGGTCATAGTCTTTACTTCTTTCTATGAATACAGGAAGTCCAATGTGTTTATTTTGACCTGTAGCCGTAGCCTTCGTTGATATGATGCTTTTTTTGGCGGGGTATTCGATAGTTGCGTTAACGTTAAAACCAGCGTTGGTTTTCATTATTATCCACTGTAAAGACTGGATTTTCGTTCCGACAAATGTGGACGCAACCCAGAATTCGGATACAAAAATATCCATCATCGTGTGGACATGGCCTTAGACCAAAGATTCCAGACATTTGTATCCAAATGCAGGGACCGTGGAGCAGGGGGGGCTGGGGGGGGGCTACAGCCCCCCCAATAATATTTCCGACATTTTGAATTTTCTTAAATAAAGAAGCGAAGTCTTTGGGATTTTATTGATAATATTGCTGACCGTGTCTGCGGTAAATATGTCTTGGATAACGCCTCAAAACGCTAGAAATGGCATTTCCGAGAGTTAAGATTTCAGAAATTTCCGACCCCTCTAGTACCTCCTCGCCGCTAGCCCCCCCAAACAAGATCCCGCTCCGCGGTCCCTGAAATGGTTTAATGCGGGTACAGCAAACGTCCACATGTATCTATAGTATACACTTCATGTCTCAGTGCCTCCAGACATTTGTGTATACGCTTTCCAGAGTGTAYATTTGTGTGTAGGATGTGTTGAATACTCGTATCTGAATATTTTGTATGCATCACATTACAGCATCAGCTCTCTTTGTAATGCCATATATATGCACGGTCGCATACTATGTGTGTACTGTACCGATGTAGCCGGATGAAAAAATAACAAAATCTGGGTGCGGCGTCAATTTGAGTAAATAATGATACCAGCAATGGGAATTTATTTTCTCTTAGAACATTTTTTATTTCGAAGTGACTGTACTTGTTTGATCTCAGCAGCTTAGTTCCGACCACAAGGAGGACATTGATATTGAAATGGAAGTTTAACTCTGTTTAACTCATAAATTGAATAGACAAAATGAACACGACATTTATATATTGAGATTCGTACTGAATAAAGTGTATTTTTAATAAACGCCGCCCCCGAATAGACGCCGTCCTCGAATAAACGCCGCAGCTGGATCGTGAAAAATGAAATAAACGCCGCGGCGTCTATTCGAGTAAATAAGGTAAACAACTGTGATCGTTACCTGACAATGAATGTTTTAAAACAATTATAGTAAATATTCAAGCTGCTGAAAAGATGTTTGATATMATGAAAGAGTGGATGGGTGATTGTAGCAGTTCAACATTGTTGGGTAAGTGCAGAAACTTATTTTTTTTTTCAACTTATTATTTACGAAAATTGCTCCATTCCGGGGGCGGCGTAACCAAGGGGGATATTTTCGAAAATTTAATGTTGTTTCATGATAAAAGCTTGTTGTATTTTTCTGGAATGYAATTCTCATTAACAGTTATATTTACTGCAAAATGAAAGCTTGATGAATAAAAAGGTTATATAAAATTTTTGATATATAACGCGCGCTCTGATTGGCTGACGACCGTGTTTATATCAGAGGACAGAGACACGGCCTACCGGCAAAGTTTTCTTTTCGCTCGAAAAAGTTTATAAAAGAAATATAAAACGGCCGCTTGTGTCTCTGTCCTCTGATATAAACACGGTGGGAGTTGAAAAACACTCGAGAAGCAAGAGAAACACTCGCTACGCTCGTGTTCCTAAGCTCCCTTCTCTCGTGTTTTTCGAACTCCCACCGTGTTTATATCAGAGGACAGAGACACGCACGCTGTTTTATATTTCTTAAATATAAGTGTTATACATTACAATTTGTTCTTTATCCCGAAGATATCTGTTGTGGCACAGGAACTATTGGATTGTGTCTAGCTAAGGTAATTATTCTACTTTGACTAGTGTTGTAGATGGTGCGGTAATCTCCCCCCACCAACTATGGGCTTGGTATACGTATATGCCAAAGCTGTTTCAACAGGATTATTTTCCAAAACGAAGCCTACGAGACTTTCTTTAATCAGACCAAATTCTATTACCCCTTTGGATTGAAGTTTTGGATGAAGAATCAGCTTTATTATTTTGTGAGACGGTTATTTCCAAAGACRGAAAACTGGATTGACCTTATTTGGTGTATATGATTGAGGGCCAGTTTTATATAAGAAGAAGCTAAAGAATGTTATTTYTTTTCGGTCCGGTATCCTAGTCATTCGCGCGCTGTGATTGGCTAGYGCGCGGTCCAGTTTTTTACGATCTGCCCGGTCCGACGGTATCCTGCAGTAGGCTGCTAGCAAAGTTGCATAAAATACAARTAAAAAAAATAAAAATGTTATTTACCGGCTATAGGTCGGTCCATATAGGAAAACAMTGCCCTCGGTCTTTTATGTACGGACCTCGCGCGCTCGTTCCGTACTGTCAAGACCTCGGGAAGTGTTTTCCTATACGGACCTCCCAACCGGTAAATAGCATATATGTATAGAAACCGAAGTTGGTTTACACTGGTTTAARCAAACAGAAGCATGAGAGAATGATAAGGAATAAAATACGTTTCTGTTAATTTTCCCCCAGTTCACGTCACCCGCAAAATAATGAAATAAATAAATAAATCACTTCTACTTCTGCTTATGTTGTAGTGTAAACCGGTCTTCATTGTGCACATGAATTTACCGAATTGACAAGCAGTCAGCAAGCAGTCGTGTTTCTACAATTYTATGGAATTGTGTTCTCATTTCTTTTTAGTATATTTCAAAAGTCATTGGTATTGAACTTGTGGGAAGTGCTGTTGAAGATGCTAAGAAGAATGCAGAAATGAATGGTAAAGTTGATATCAAGACAAATTTAATTTCAAGTTTTAAAACGGCACGAAAATGTTACATATATTCATTAAAATAGACACTGACATCAAGATGGGTATTTGCACATGATCACACCTGAATTACCTTAATATAATTGGGTTCTTTGCACTCCTAACATGTATATTGATAGTTTTCTTTTTAATCCTTTTAGACATTACGAATGCAGAATTTATTGCTGGCAAAGCAGAGGATGTTCTTGTTGAGCAAGTGTTGAAGAAGCTACCATCATACACACCTGTGATTGGTATTGCTGATCCTCCCCGTGCAGGGCTACGTATGTCAGTTTTTTTTTCACTTAACTACGCAAGTACTCATCTAAAAGTCCACGCGTATCTGTATTCGGTTTTCAGACATATCCGCTACAAATGGCGTTTTCGAAAACATCCACATATGATCGGAAACGTATATGAACGACACTCGTATTTTTACGTAGTAAAATATTTTCAGCCGGGACCTTAGGAAGCATTCACTTTAGCGCATGCTCTGCAAATGAAAAGTGAGTTTCATCCATTTTATAAGTTTTTTATTTAGCAACTTGAAGGTCTTCATCTGTTTTAAATTGATACGAATGTGCTTGTTCAGATTTTTGAAAATGATCAAACTTGACACTATGCGTGATGGTCTATGTCTTCATTGATTCAGTTTCCGGTGACCAAACCTGCACATAACGGAGTCARATGTTATATTACGGTTTTGTTGCAGATCGCAGTGTTATACATGGAATACGCCGATGCAACAGAATGAGTAGACTAATCTATGTTGCTTGTAATGCCAACAATGCTTTTACAAACCTAGTTGAGTAAGTAAAATGTAAGAAATTGTTTGTCCACTATCGATAATACACAACAATTTACAACGTTCTGTTGTCTCCTTTCGAACATCGAGGCCAATACTGGTTCTCAAAACAACTACAAAAACAAAAGCAAAACAAAACACATACAAAACACCAAACTAAACAGTAACATTAGATAACGATAGAATGGAAAGTGGTAAAAACTCTAATGTTRTTTTTGTTTCTCTAGTCTGTGCCGTCCAGTCTCAAAGAGGATAAGGACAATGCCGTTTCATTTAGTGAAAGCTATTCCAATTGACTTTTTCCCACATACCCAGCACTGTGAACTGATCATGCTATTTGAGCGAGATAAGTCAGTTTCTAAGGATGTGTCTAGACGATTCCATCTGTCTGTAAACAATGATGATAAACGATGATCCACAACTGAAGTTATCAATCCGAAGAACGCTAACATTCTACCGGGAAAAACACGTTTTCGACGTATTTTGGATGTTTTCTTCTTAAGATCTGTTTCACTCTCGCTGTCTATTTTCTAGCGACATGAAATAGTCTACTATACACGACTCCCTGAACCATCTTCAAAGGTACAGTTGTGTAAAAATAAATTTAACACCGTGTAAACAAATAGGTTTCTTTGGTTTTGCGACAATCATTGCTGCTGCTAACCAAAGACAAACCAAAAAGGTMCGAAATGTCAGTGTTTCACATACGTTTTACAGTGTTAAGTTTATCTTTTTACAAAACTGTTTCTTTAGAAACACCGACGCAGCTCACACTAGTTTACCGCTAGTTTCCTCCATCTTCAATGGTAGCCGTGCCTTTATATCGAAGTGAGACTATACCGTTGAGCTTGCAATGATCCAAACTTTCTTTCGCACCTACAGATAGTATCGATCATCGCACACTCAACGGTAGTCTCCCTTCGTCGCAGAGGCGCGAGTACCTTTCAAGATGGCGCAGGGAATACTGAATGAGACTATTTCCCGAACGAACGTTATTCCAAAGAGTTGCCTAAGCTGGTGGTTAGAGAGGCTTTTCCAAGTAAGAAAAGTGTACTTGTATTG